TTATTTATTCATTCATTTACTATTAAGATAAAGATAAATAGGACGAATTTATTTATTCTATTAAATTAATTCATTTATTGTTTTTTTTTCTTTTTTTTATTTATTGTAGATTAAGAAAAATGTTAAAAAACAACTGAACATCAGAGATGAATCTGGTGATATTTATCACACCGATCTCCAGAATGAAATTTGTCAGTGGCGAGCTGAATTGAGAAACTCAGATTATCTGTGCACCCCATTTCAGGAAAGAGAGCATACCAGCCTATCCAATAAAACACTGGATAAAGACCTTATAAATTTCTCTCAAAAATGTAAAGAGAACAGATCTCTCTATTTACAGGAAACTTTCAAGAGAAATTCTTTAAATTTCTCTTCCGTTTCTTTAGAACCATTTTTTTTTCAAAACATCAGACAGATCTACATTCAATTCTATTCAGAGCAAAACAAAAGCTGAAATTACGACAAAGATAGAAACCGTGATTGAGGAATTAATGGATTTGGATTTTGAAGTTGGTAAGCCTGATGTAAATTTCAGATCAAAATTAATAATCAATTTTTAATATTGCATACATCTAATACTTTAAGACACCAAACGTTATTGAGATTTTCTTTTTATTATTGTTTTCATAAGGAGAAGAAAAGGAAACGAAATGGAAGAAGCAAATAGGAGTGGCACGAAAGCGCTATACATCCAATTCTATAAAGAAATTTTAGAAATTTCAGAAAGTTTACAAGACAAGAAATATTGAAGGTGAATATATTAATCATTTTTATGTGTATAAAATTTATATTTACTTTCTTCAGGATGGTATTCTTTCTCTTGTAAACAGCATCTGCCCTTCTTTGATCTTTTTCAATGTATCCTTCTTCTATTTTCCCCTTTCTTGGTCTTCCTCTCTTTTTTTTTTTTTTGCCCTTTTCTGTTTTGTCCAGGGTTAATTTTTACCATCCTATTCATTATTTTAAATAAATATTTCTTTTTATTTCTTCAAAATTATTTAAACTCTATGTATTAATAAAGAAAAACACGAAATAATGAATACAAATTATGTTTATTGTAGTTTACGATTAAACATTTTTTATACGGAAATTTCATAGCAATATATGTATTCTTGACTCATTTGATCCTCCGTAGATTTTGGCCTGCAAGATGACGATTCGCCTGAATCCGCATCTGATCAAGACATATACCTCTTCGTGTAAGTGTTGTCATCTTGTTTGTGATACTTTTTTTTAATTGTTAACATTGGAACTAATTGTTCACATCATCAGAAAAAAGATTTTGAAAAATCATTAAAAAATTGACACATAATTTTGAAGGTTTTGCGATTAACTATTCCGTACATTATACATAGGAAGATTATTATTGCATTCTTACCATGTTCAAACAGTCTTCTTATATCTTTTTCTTGTGATGCTCGTAAGAATTCAAAAAAATAGAAAGAAAATTCTCCTCGGGAGGCGCGCTATTATACTTTGGTTTTTGTTTGTGAGTATATCTCACACGCCCATGTATAACATGACAACAACTCAGAATGCGCTTTTGAGTTTTTGATTTTTAATATTTTTTTTTAAATTTTATACACAGGAAATAGCTAAATAAAGCTATTTGTAATAGCTTTATTAAGCTATATAGCTTTTTAAAGCTATATAGCTAAATAAAGAGATGGTACTGGACCTGATTAATATAAAAGAACATTTTATCTAGGTTTCTTAAAAAATATTTATGATAATTATATACTGTATTCAGTTTTGATTTCGTCATTTCTGAAAGATACAAATGTACCTCCAACAGATGTTCGTTAGCTAATTCACACAAGCGAACAAGTTCTATTTTCCTCCGCAAACGACACTGTATGCCTCTTTCTTGAAGATACTTCTTTAAATCTGGGACTTGCCAGCAAAAGAAATCATCGTCCTTGTCCATTTCTCAACCTAGTTTATGATTATTGTGCAGAAAAATGACTGAAAAGCTATCAATTTAACTTGTTTCGATGGTAAACAATGTAAACCGGAAGTACCCTTGTGGAACATTTTTGATGCGGCGTGACTTAAAAGTGGAATAAAAACGGTGTTCCGGCATAACTCAAAACGCGGCTATTGATTTGGGACTTTTGGGCAACCATCAGTTACATATGCTTCAAAGCCTTGTTATTTTGTACAATAATATTCAAAACTTTGACCTGCCATTTCTTCAAACGTTTCCAGCAGCAAGGTCTTCTTGAGAAATTTTAAGAAAAGTTTAAGGAATATAAAAATACTTTGGTCAGATTGTTTTGAGAGAAAAGTTATGATGAACACAATGCTTTTTCTGATATTTATACAGTATAATGTCAACTCCTCACTACTTCCATTAGAACAAGGCAAATATCTACACTGATCTCTCAAAGACTTTAAGCTAAAAACAAGTCTGAACAAGCTAAATCTCAAACATAAGCATGAACTCCTTAGTGGGGTTAAGATTGTCTTTTGTGTCTTTTTTAATGGCACCAAGAATAATGAAGCCTCAGAAAACCATTGGCAAAGTTGTTTAGCAATTGATCTCTTCTTTATAAAGTTCATCCTAAGTATTTCCGTACAACAAAATTGTTTGTTTGCGTGCTTTACTTACTAGAAATAGAATCTAAATGTCTGTTATACTACAATTATTCTTTTTATTCCCCATAAGGCATTTCAATAAGTTGTATTTATTCCCCTAAATGGAACTCTTCTACTGTGTTTAATACGCATGCGCTAAAAATAAGTCACTTCCGCGGGCATTCTTGACATGATGGACAATCAAACAAAAAGCGCAGTTCTAGATATCGGTCCAGTAAGTTGCGCTGCATATGAAGCAAATTAAGAGGTAAAACGAAAGGGACGTGTCATCAGTCTTCACAGATTTCCTAGCGACACAGAGAAGAAATAAATATGGCTACAGCGGGCTAGATTAATGCCTTAAAACTTTAACTACATAAAAATTCTTATAATTATTTGTTCAGCACATTTTGTAAATAAAGAAGACCAATCTGCAGACTATCCATTACCTTCGATTTTCCCTACCAAGACGTTTACAACATCGGTATGAATTTTCAACAGCTGTTCTTTCAGTAATCAGTTTCGTTTTTTGTTGTAAGGTGTTGGATGGGGGACTAACACAGCGCCTTACTATACAGATCAATACAAATCCAGAGAGAAATCAATTTTAAAAATTACAAATCATTTGATTTCTTTTTAATTCACAAACACATTGACAGTATGTATTTTGCAGATGCTTAAATCTACCTTGAACATATAAGAATGTACTTAGTGATAAGGGGCTGTACAATACACAACTCTAGAACATGAGGACATAAGGGGAAAGGGGGACGATATTAAATCATAAAACGATTTTATTTTTATCAACTCATGATATACTATGATTATGATAACTTTATAATTTTAAACATATTTTTTTAGTGAGTGTGTGTGGGGATGTTATGATGAAAAACCTATCAACTCAAAAATTCCACTTTTCACTCCAGGCACCCAAAAGTTCAAGTTTTCCTATCTCTCAGCCAGATGTACAAGATGCAGCTGCTTGAGATAGTGAGCATAGATTACAAGAATAGTCTTGAAAATTAGGTTACTACTTACTATAATATAGCTGCAGAACTGTAGCTCTCTGCATGAGAAAATTCGGACAGATGAAGATAGAGCTACAGATCCATGCGTTGTAGAAACCTTCGATTTACGCCGCCGATTTTTTTTACATTTCAGGTATCATATCTTATATTTATGTTTTCTTCAGGTTTAAAGTATCCGATAATTAACCGTATATTTAACTCGTATTCCTAAATGTTTGTTTATCATTCAAATGTTCAAGAAGAGCCGTTTGGGATTATGGACGTAGAAATGGAAATCTTCTAGGCCTACATTCCAAAACCATGATGGACTATTTCGGACCGTTGAAAGGTAAATAAAGTATCAATAATTGGAGTAAATCACATGATTAATAATTATCGAATACCATTCTAAAGGTAAACGAAAGCATAAACTAGAAAAAAATTATGCCGTTTTTAAAAATTATGGATCTGTAGGCTTAGTTTTTGTTTAATCTGTTCGAAGTTTTGGCTGTTTGTGACGTCACATTGAGAAAATTACGTCAATATGTAGATCACTTGTGACTCAGTATTAGTCGAGCAACGAACAGCTGTAAAGATAAACCGGAAAATTAATGAAATCCCTTTGCAGTAGTTTATAATCATGTGTACACGGTTTCCGAAGACAAAAAGACTAGTCAGAGGCTTATATTAGTCAATAGTATTGGATTGATTGATTAAGTGAAGGATAGGATATGTTTTAAATTGATGTTTGTTGTGTTGTTGCCCAGTGTAAGCAAGCTGGAGACGAGATGTGTCATTTGTTAAGCAATTTGATATGAAAGATCGCCAATACAGTTAGAAAAATAGTTGAATATATTAACAATAACATAATTATTTAATCCCTAAAATATCGTTGACTTTAGACTTTAAGCATATCAGATATGATAAAAATGAGGCACTCACTCCTTATCCACAAATTGAATAAACAACGCCCCCAGACAGACGAATTGGGTTATAATGGTCACCATGCTTATTCTGGAAAAAGATATCCTTATCCACAACTACTATTTCCGAGATTTGTCCATTTCTGACAAATGAACTGTTGTTATAAAAAAAAAAATACTCGCATGGTATTAAGAAATATAAGAGTCGGAAAAATCTCTTAGCTTCTATGACAGAACGCTACAAAGCATGTCACGTGACCACCTAGATCACGTAATTATTATGTACATAATATTCTAACCCAGAGACCATGAAATTAACAATTTTCAAAGAGGCACCATTGCTTATCATAATTATAAACTTTGCATGCTTATTCTATTTACTTAATACCAGAGGTAGATCAGAGTAACAAAGAGAAAATGCACTTCCACTTTATAAACAGTTGTGTACCCCACTCCAAAGGAACCACTGAGGGGCATGAAATCAACAATTTTGCTACATGCACTTTTCTTCATCATAAATATGTATACTTGGATCATTGACATAATTCCTAGAAGCAAAGGTAATACTTCGTCCTTGGTGTCTGCTGCGTTCATGAAAGTGTCGGATGATAAGCCTTGTTACATGAGACTTCCTTGGTAAAATGATTGGATGCTTAACATAAGACGTAAATTCTCCCTTCCGCAAACGACCACCGACTCGCAAAACATCATTATAATCCAGAAATGGGTCAAGTCGGTAAAGGGAGGATGTCCTTCGAACGGATTTCTTCCTGTTAACTTCCTCACATCCCTTGATGTCGTTAAAAAAATTCAATTCTTCACTAAAGGCCTCTTTTTGAACTAATCTTACAATAGTCAATTCTGCTTCCTCTAATAATGCTACTGGCAATCCTTGCTCTTTGCAAAGCACTGCGTCTGTCCCCTTCTGACAAGCATCCTTCCTAAGTAATGACTTAAACTTAAGACAGTTCGCTATGAGTCTCTTGGCATGGGTCCAATCAGAATAACGTTCTAAATGGTCCATTAATGATGTACACTCCGTAAGTTCTACCTTCGTCTCGAACACCTGACAACGCTTAACCTCTGGGTCATCATCCGATAAACTTGGCATGCTGACAGGCTTAACAGTAAATGGTAAACTGGACTCCCATAGAAACTTCGGTCCTCTGAACCATTCCTTCCTCTTTCGTAACTCATCGGCTGTGACACCACGTGATGCCATGTCTGCTGGGTTCTCTGCTGAACTGATATAGTTCCACTGATATGGCTCTGTGTGATCACGAATCTGTTGAAGTCTGTTGGCAACAAAAACATGAAATCGCCGAGAATCATTAGCAATGTATCCCAGAACAACAGTGCTATCTGTCCAGAACCATTCAACAACATTGCTAATTTCAAGCTCATCGAGGAGTTGGGAGCTGACCGTAACAGAGACAAGAGCAGCAGTAAGTTCCAAACGAGGTATGGTTACTGGCTTGAGTGGCGTAACTCTGGATTTGGCCATAACTAAAGAGCAGTGTACTTGCTGCTTGTCATCGATGAGACGAAGATATGAGCACTGGCCATACCCGATAGTGCTCGCATCGGAGAAATGGTGTAGCTCCGCTACAACAACATCTCCAAAGTTCTCAGGTTTCAGACATCTCTTGATTTCTAAGGAACCAAGGTGCTCAAGATCATTTCTCCAACATCTCCATCTAGGCCTCAAGTTCTCTGGAAGAGGCTATCCCAATCTGTCTGGTTTCTACACATTTCCTGCAAGATTTGTTTCCCATCTAGAACGAAAGGTGCTATGAATCCAAGTGGGTCAAATACGGAACTCAAAGTCGAAAGAACACCTCGTCTAGTAAGAGGGCGGTCCTTCAGGGTAATCTTGAATGAAATGCATCTGTCTGAATACACCACAGCATACCTAAAGTTCTTTCCATGGGAAGTTTGTCATGGTGTATGTCAATATCTGCTAGTCCCTTTGCTCTTTCTTCAGCTGGAATGCTCTCCAAAACTTCCTTAGAGTTTGAGAGGAACTTGTGCTAACCTCTCTCTGTCTGGGTTCTCTTTATGTGACACATAAACTGGAAGTATTATGAATCACTCTGGAGTATCCAGTAAAAGTACCAGTAAAAGTACCATAAGTGTTGTTCCTGATGAACTCTCCTTTGGCATGGCTGCCTTATCCACATCCTCCGTAATCTGTTGCTGTTCTCGTCTGTAGATGTCCCCGTTTAAAGATGATGGGTGAAACTTGGAACAAATTTTGCATCTTTTCCTCTGGCGACACTTCCTTGATAGATGACCCGAATGTAAACATCCAAAACACAGACCTTTCTGTTTTGCATACTGTTTTCTTCCTTCCAGACTCTTCGCTAAGAACTGTTTACAGTCATCTAGTTCATGATTCCCTTCACACAAAACACAGTTTCTCCCTCTATCGCTTCTATTTGCAACGTTCACATTTGCGGGCTGATTCTCGTCAACGTCTGTCAGGAAAGATCGTTTTCCATAATCAGCTGCACCTCGCTTTCGTATTCTGACATCAGGTCCTGGCTTACTCGGCTCTGATTGGGCGAGTTCAGACTTCTTTACAGACTCTGTGGAGGTAATAGGGTCTGTCGCAATCTTGGCTTCTTTCATGATAAATTCCATAAAATTCTTGAATGGTGGAAATTCCATTCTTTCTTCTCTGTACTGTGTGGCAATCCTACCCCATCTTGTCACAAGCCAATCTGGAAGTTTGCTAAGCAGTCTTCTGTTTTCTCTGTCATCATTGAGAATGTTCAAGCTTCCAATACTCTGCATGGCTGTATAACACTGCTTAAGAAAATCACCAAATCGCTGCAGTCCAACACCATCTCTCGAGCTTATCTTTGTCCATTTATCCAGTTTGTCACGGAATGCATTGGCAACAATGAATGGGTTACCATATCTTTGGTCTAGCAGTCCTTTAGCCTCCTCATACGCATCATCTGTTGATAACAGAAAATAGTTCTCTATGAAATCTTTCACTGGTCCACCCAGATACTTCTTCAAATAATGTATCCTTTCTGATGCTGGAATCTGACGCTGCTCAATGAGTGTTTGAAATGATGCCTTCCAACTTGGGTACTTCAACGGATCTCCTAGAAAAATGGTAGGTTCCGGAGGGGGTAAACGACTAAGACTCACTTGCTTTGCTAGTGAAGTAGCCAGATCCAATAAGCCTTGCTCTATTTGTTTGTCATCTTTACTAGGCAGTGACGGATTGTTACGTGACTGCAAGTCTATGTTGCTTAAGGGAACTCTTGAAGCAGTGCTAGTTGCGACATGTTCCTGTTGTGTGTGAGGAGTGAATACTGGAGGAATGAGGTTCCTATGAGAAATCAGTGGTGCTTTTGATACTGGTTCTATCTTTATCCTCTCTTCTGATGGCCTGACCTGAGTATCAATGAACCTTTTGACACGCTCCTTGGAGTCAAGCTCTGGAATCGAATGTTTAAAATCACGGTACAAGAATGGTTCATTACCTTCAAAAGTCTCAAGTGCTTCTAACTTAGCCTGCGCTATATCAAGCTCCTTCTGGGTTCTAATCCTTTCAAGGTCTGCCTTGTGTTTTGCCTCTGCGTCAATGTACTTCAGCTTTGTCTTCAGCGCTGCTGCCTCCATGACTGTATCTACCGACTTCCTGGAACTTCTAGAGGTATTGGAAACCCTCGTTGACCTTGATGTACGACTGCTGTGCGATCTACCTGAAATCCTGGAGACAGAGTCAAACTCTAATTCTCTCAAGTAATTTGTAATGTCTCTCATCAATGTGTGATTATCTCCTAGAATAATCTCGATCCTCCCCTGGTATTGATCAACTAAATGTCTGTACTTCTCGTCTTCTTCATTTGTAAGCATTTGTTTCAGTCTTTCAAGGATTTCATTCAGATTAGTCGTAATACTAATAAGAACGTCTCTTTCTCGCCTGATAGCAGAGGTATCCTTCGAATCCGAAATAAGAACTTCAATAGATGCTGCACACTTCCGCCATCTTGAAGCCTTGAGCTTAAAGTCTGAGCATATCTGATCAACTTGCCATTCCAAACCTTTCGTGGTCATCTTGCGCTCACGCATATGTAATGTATTGCTCTGGCTTGCTTGTTCAGAGTCCTTAGACGCTTCTTCAGAAGTTGTTTTAACATTTTCCTTGTCGTTACCTATGTTGTTGTCTTCCTTTGTTTCAGGGGGGATAGATGAAAGTGCATCTGTATAGGGCATCTCTTCGTTTGACATATTTGTAACACAGTTAGGGAGTTTAAACTTAGATACAATACAATGTTACCTACAAACCATGTGATAAATATTGCAATAAAATATCAGAACCTTCCCCTAGCACACAAGGTAAATACATGCACATGTATACATACACATTGAATACAAATCAACATTTGCAATCAAGAGTCAATACAGTTTAAATCTACAGCACAGTCTTGATAATTGTTCATATGCACAGATATAATAAATAACTAGCACTAATTAATAGCATTAATCAATTAATAGCACAATGTTTACTAACACACAGTCACAAACATGTAATGTATTGTAATGCTAGAATTGTCACTTTATAACGCGGACGTGCCACCATACAATTTTCACACAGTTAATGTCATCAATATAAATCAATATAAATCGCAAATGTTCTGTTCACAGTTGCACATCATCACAGAAACATCATGTGTCGCAGATACTGTAAAGTCAATACAACGGTAATGGCGTCTCTAGGCTTCCATAGATCACACTCACCGTTTTACGATCCTGGGAAGGAGTTTCACTGTTACGGCAGAGATGTGCGTTTATGGATCGAGCGGCCCTCTCGCAGATAAACAAGGGTAACTTGGGTTTTTACTGATGAAGTTTAATACATCAAAGCAAAAATACGGGTATTCCCGCCGCAGTGTCAAACAGTACCTAACTTCACCGTGAAACTGTAAACAATAACAATTACACAGATTCAATATATAAAAAGTTAATTACAGATCGAATACGCAAAAATACACATACGAAACAAACGTATTTACCTCCTTGTGCCTTATTTTCGCGTAAATGTGAGGGCTTAGTCGCACCATGTGCTTGCCGCCATGAACATAAAAATAACGCAAATGACATAAAATTACCTTACTATACAAAAGAGTTCCAAGTACGGCAGCATGTGCGGGCGTAACAGTAACCTTGAATGTGACTCTCGGAAGACGGACTCCGCTCTCTCTTTTCGTCGCCGCTTTTCTAGCCTACCTCTCTGGAACACTGCTTGTCTAGTTTACCATCCTTGATTGTGCAGTATCGGTCGTCTATGAGACCTGGTACGACGCACTGGAGTGGTTGGTCTGTCTTCCGGTTGTGACGTAAACCCCCGCTTGGGTCCACTGCTGTAGAAATGTTGCTGTCTTTCCAAGTTCGTTTGGAACGCCAAATTAACATATATGAGTTGCGTCAAGCGAAAAGGGACCTTCGTGACGTGAATAGAATAACGTCATAATCGATCTTTAAAGTCACGACGTTACAGCCGGCTGGTTACCGTAAAAAATAAATTTTTAGCATGATTTAGCCTAAGTATAAATTCACAGCTGATTTATAGAAAGAAGGTAAGCTGAACCCTTTGCCATCCCATGGATCTTAAGGTAATGTAGTTTTAATGATATTTTAATGTTTTTCTTATTCTTGTCCCTAAATTATGCACTGATATAGGCCTATACATGTACTTGTATATGTACATGTAATGATGTATTGACATAAAATATGGTACGTGCAGAAACCGTACAGAGTGGAAACTTCCTTATTAGTTATAGAACATTTACATTGCCTTCTCGTGTAGTCACATCTTCGTAAATATAAGTGACAAAATGTAATTTATAAAATAAGTCATTACAAGATAAAAACTGTAGTAACTTCGTAACATAGGTCTTTGTTTACAGACGACATAGATCTACATCGTTTTATAAACACTAAATATTATATTACCGTAATATTACTGTGCTTGCTGCGAGAAAAATGTACCTGGGGATAACGATGATGACAGTGACGACGACATCAACAAAGAATCTGTTCAACAACACGACATCAGGGACAAGATAGACAGATTTGGTAGAAACTGTGTCATTGACAACAATGAAGAGAGTTACAGTGAGGAGGAGGAAGATATAGAATGTAATGGATGTAACAATCTTCAGAGTTTACAGGAAAACATTAGTAAAGCATGTTCGTGTGGGGAAAAACTGTCTGAAAAACGTTGCCGTAGAAGAAATACAAAACTCAATACTGACCACAAGTGAATTAGCTAAAGATGAAAAAGATAGTACCTCGTACCCACAAAAAAAAGAGCAGACGCCCACCATATGCCTTTAAGTTTGACGATCTTAAAAGAGCTATCGACTATATTCAGAATTACGCTGAAGAATTTAGACTACCACAACCGACAGTAAAAAACAAAAGTATTCCTGTGACTTTTTTACCTTCATCTGGCAGCAAAACATCACTCCATTCTTCGTA